ATGATGATGGTGTTGATGGTGATGATGATGATGATGTCACTGATAATGGTGATGATGATGATGATGTCACTGATAATGGTGGTGATGATAATGATGGCACTGATATTGGTGATGATGATGATGGTGATGATGATAATGATGGCACTGATGATGATGATGGTACTGACAATGGTGGTGATGATGATGATGATGTCACTGATAATGGTGGTGATGATGATGGCACTGATATTGGTGATGATGATGCATGATGATGATGATGACACTAATGATGACGGCAATAGTAGTGATGATGACACTGATGAATGATGGTACTAACGATACGATCTTTGCACTGGACTAAATATGGACTGTGTATTAACCTGCATGTGCTGTTATTATAGGAAAATGTTCGAGAAGCTCGCAAGGCAGGACAGCTTCAGGGTTTGAAGCTGGAAGAGACATACAAGGTATGCAGCCGACGTCCATCCTCTTTCCACTCAAATGTTTCTTACATCCAATAAAAACTGCCCTTTTCGCCGTCCTACATGTAACGAAGCATGATTATCTATAGGGAAAGCAAATCAGTCTTAAATTTGGTGCTTCTTAGTGGTCTTTCTAAGGTTTTAATTAGCGGCAAACTTTACAACTATTTGCACGATCCTAAAGGTGCCAACACTAAACAGATCCGGTTCATCCGTTGAAGTGAATCTAATTCAGTTTTCCGCTTCCAATAAAGTTTTAGGGGTTGGATTTTCCATCCAAGGAAAATTCTTTCAAAGAAGTGCCTTGCTGTGGTTTTCAAAATGTCTCACATCCTTTTAATTTGTTCCTAGGATCTTCTTGATAAATTTAAACTCTTGCGTCAAAAGGCGGAGTGCGATACCACACAAGACAACGGTCTAACGAATTATCCTAACCCCATTTCCAATCACGTGACATTCACCGTCAGCGACAGTAGTTCTTCGACAGATTCTATCAACGAAGAGCAGAGTGATTTGGTATCAAGCCTCACGTCAACGCTTGCTCTCGATTCTTACAACAGCACTGATGGCGTTAAGCCGGTGAACCCTGAGCGACGAATGACCCGAAGTCGCTCACTTGACGACATGCTCAACGTGTCAAATCAAACGACGTTAAAACGAGCCAGTTTGAAGAGAAAAGTCGGAGGAAGTAAATTTTATACGGAACGGCTCCTGGACGAATTAAATAGAGGTGAATTTTAATATTACATTAGCATGTGAAGATATGGAATTTCTATTTGAGTTTCATTTAATAGTCTTACGATCACGTGAACGAGAAGCCAAAACGCGTCTTCGGAAAACGTGCGAAAATCCTCAATGCTGATTGGTGTTGAATGAAAATGCGCTTATAGTTCTACATATTCACTAGCATCTTATTATTGGAATTTAACCACCTGACCAAAAAAAGCTCTTGAGAGTGGAGCGCTTTGTATAGTCAACCAAGATGGCGGCTATGACGTAACATACACCCCAAGAATATTGTTCAGATGTAAGTGACTTTGCTAGCAGAGTTCTGATGTCTTTTCTCTTGCATGTATAGAGCCAAGGAAGAGATTCGTTGTGCCCCAACCAATCCAAGAGAAATATAACAATCTCCAGGAATATCTACACGGCACAGGTTAGCATGGTTTTAGTTCTTGCTCACCACGATATGTATATCCTTATATTCCTTGATAAGCAGGTTGTCAATCTGGAGATGGGGACTCGATAGATCCCCGAATATAAAACGATCAGTCGATGTATACTAAACTCGAGGTATTCCCCAAATAAAATGATCAGTCGATTTGTAACCGAGGTCTCTCTGAAATAATCTGATGATTATAGCAGGTCTCCATATTTCTGATTTATTTTTTTATTCCTACTTCGTTTGTAGGCGTCAACTTCTCGACAGAAAACACTGTCAAGATAACGGATAAACTTTGCTGTGGGTACCTGGTCAAACAAGGAAGTAAGTACTTTTTCTATTTATTGTTTATTTGTTTATGAAGTACTCTTCCTAACCATTTGCCCTTCATTTAGAAATTCACAAAAGCTGGAGAAAGCGGTGGTTTGTTCTGGATCTTGAGAAGAAATGTTTGGCATACTTCGAATCCGAAAAGGTGAGCTTGAGCAAATGGTGAGCAAATGAACGAGAGCTAATCATTATTTTTACCGTATGATCTCGTATTTCATTTCGCCTTTTAGGTTATTCGCTTTATTTTATGATTTATATTAAACCCCTTCATTTATCATTCATTTTATTTTGAACATTTTGTTTACTACCCAAAGTTCTTCCTGAACATTACACTAGATTTGAGGCTATCAAGATAATTGAGATTTTTAGCAAGGATGGAATATAAAGGAACCTGGAAAAAACCCTCAGGGAAAAGGGACGAGAAAAAAATGATTGCTTTCATTGCTTTTAGTTCGACCCGTTGAGCTGCGCCATTGCTGTACTTGCAGTGGTGAATCGCGATAGAAAGTTTTCTTATCACTCAATTTTTATTTCATTCCATTTCCTAACCATCCTTTTTCAGAGTCAACACCCAAAAGGAGCAATCAATTACCAGTCCATCGTGGAAGTCCATCGACACAAAAGATCTTCAAAAAAGAAAAAGGATTTCAAATTTGATATCGTTACACCCGAAAGAACTTACGCTATCGAGACACCGAACGAAATCAATATGAACATTTGGTTGGCTTGCTTGACTATCCCGCCAAATGCTATTGAATTTGGCTAATCATGGTCACGTGGTAACCACGTAGCATGAAGACACATATTGTCCCGAGTAACACTTTTGGTGACAAGTAATGGCGGAACAAAGATTTGGCGCCGAATAGATACGATGGAAGTTTATTGGCCAGCACTTTTACTAGAACGAGGTCATGAGATTTTTGCGTCAGCCATAATGACTGCTTTCCATATAGCTGGAGTTTATGCCTTGGTTGTTTGTTTATATCAGTGAAACTCGTGTTTTCTTGTGTTATCGTACGTTTATGGTTGGTTTTGATGTAGGTAATGGTGGTGTTGCCACGTTTCAAATGATTATTCTCAGCGTCTTTTGTGTTAAAGACCCATTGCCACTTACCGTGATGCATCACAATTTGTTTACATTTTGAATCGTGTCACCACCGAAAAAACAATTCCAACCTTTTGAACAAACTCTTAGATAGTCCCTAAAGCCGTCAAAAATGTAAAAGAATCATTATTGTGCCTTAGTGCTTTCGCGGAAAAGGATTTAATATGAAGTTATTATTCAATATATGAATCTTTGAATTTCATGGACCACGAAATTCATCTGTAACCGCGGTGCATCACGGTAAGTGGCAATGGGTCTTTAAGTTTGCTTTGCTTTCCTGTAATTTCACTGTGGCATTCGTCGTAGCACTCGTTTTTTTGTACTTTCGTTGTTTCCTTCATTTTTATTGTTGTTCATGTTGGTGTTTGTGGTAGTGTTGGTGTTGGTGTTTGTGGTAGTGTTGGTGTTGGTGTTTGTGGTAGTGTTGGTGTTGGTGTTTGT